CCAGTGGCTTAATGGTATACGAGCTCGCCTTGTAACCAGATGGTCCTGGGTTCGAATCCCGGTGAGTGCGTACTGTTAAAGAGTCCCAAACTAGGACGAAACAGCTGTCCAGTAGTCCCGGGTTTTCCAGTGGTTCTCTAACTGATGTCAGCTCATGATGAAATCCTGTAACCAATCAAATCCCTACAAACCAACACTTGAGAATAGGCTTATACTTGGACTTTGTTTGTGATACTAATGCCTGGTTATTTTAATGGATAACAATTTGGCGTTCAGTAACTATGAATGTCCGGTTCGAGTTTCAATGGGAAGACTACAACTCACCTCAATGCCTCGTCATCTAATTCCGCCCAGTGCTCTGAGCATCAACGGGCATGGGTAATGGCGGGATAACGAAATGATGACGAATTTCCGATGTCGTCCCTTGATGTAGACATGTGGCCTTGCGCTATGTGCACCGTCGGATTGGCATTTTGAGGTCATGGTTGCGCTGGTAGGTACCTCCACGTGGTTCCCGCCGGGCGGGGCGGTTTTCCGGCCGTCTCAGCTAAATCCTGTCATTTAAGAGCGAGCTATTTCTTGCATTTGGGAATGCGGAACGCAGTTTGATCCGGCTGTTATCCCCTTGAACGTGGGGCGTCTTTGGGGGCGCTGGAGCATTCTGTGAACGGTAGTCTGGTCATGAAAACCGAGTGGGAAGAATGTCGGGGAGAGTCTTACATCCCAATATCAATTGGGAGAGCTTGATTCTCGTTAACCCGGCTGACCTGCGAGGGGATCATTTTCGAGACTAGTTCGCTCAACACGAGACAATATCCGTGTCCGGTAACTCAGTTTGGATGAGGCGGCGGGCCGTCCTCGGCTTTATGCGTTAGACGGGACATCGGTGGTCCAAGATCTGTTGGATTCCTTATGAGAGAACCGGGACCAATATCAACTGGTTAACGGGTAGCTGCGAAGGACCGATAACCCCAAACGCGAGGCGCCGCTTGGACAGCTGTTAGCCAAGGGCAGTCCAGAGTGGTGTCTTGTGTTCGTGGGGAGTGGATTGGATGGTGGGATTTCGTGCCATGAGGCTTGTTTGGGAAGTCTCCGGTGCGCATATGTCCTGATTATGTGTTCTGGTGTTGGCGCGAGGGGGATTGTCCATGGTCTGTGAATATATTGGTAACGGTAAGACCGACCTACCCTCTCATAGTTCACTTGCGTAACCTTTTGGCGGGTGTGCATTTGGGCGAAGCTGGTACACAGGTAAAAACCACTGAGTCCATCCAACTGACCAATCAAAAATAAAAAGAATATTCTACCCTTGGTACATTCTGTTGGATATCATCAAAATCTTGGCATAACAGTTTTCTAAACTACACATCAATGAATGATTTTAACATGTTGTGTTGATTAGTTGGTGTATCGTTTGTTAAAAAAACTATTAATAATGCTTTTCCTTTTAAAGCATTTTATGCTATTGTTTTTAATTCCCTTACGTTCTCAATGGAAGATAGGGGGCTTCAAGCTACAGGCTTGAAGTTTCGGTAGCAGTGGTGGTGTTTTATTTTTACAGGATGGGGTTGCTATCCTCGTGCCACCAACTTTCCCTCTTTACCAGTCTTATTACTGGCTTAGTAAGGTAAAAGAGTGCGTCAGTGGCCGGGGATCGAACCTGGAACCACATGAGGCGTGGTTGGCGAGCATCCTATGGCTGTGCCACCGACTCAGGTTATGCTATTGTACCAAACACTAAAATTTACTAAATAGGTTGAGATATAATTCCCAATAATACCTAATTAAACGTCTTATGTCCTTCATAAGTAATTAATCTCATTGGAGCTTGTCTCAAGTTACTTAGAGGCTTATTCAAAGCCAGCAAATGAATGACCACTGTTCAGATGGACAGTAAAATGAAGGTTAGCTTAATTGTAATAATTTGTTTGTTTAGTTTACACTGATTCGATGAATTTAAAGGCGAATTTGCCTGCAAACCAACTTGAGTTAGGCAACTGCAGAAAATGAAGATGTACTGAACATAATTTCAGACGTTTTAGAAGTCTTCAGCCAAGGTATCCTAAGGGATAGCAATGCAAGGTAGTCAAATTTTCAGGCAAGCGGAATTCTAACGCTTTACTTGAATAGGAGGAATTCTACAGTTTTCGATACCTAACCCCATCCACTTTATTAATGTAGCTTGATTACATAGACGTTTGATATTTCTTATCAGTAGTGAGCGTTTTCTGGTTTCCAACATTACTATGGCTGACTCATACCCATTACTCGATTATTATTATAATTATTGTTTCCTTTAATTCACGGAATATACACATTTGATCATAAGGAATAAAAAGACAGTTGCAGCGAAGAAAATTTTCTTTTCGACGAAGTCATCATCTAGGCTGTACATTCGTGTATTTATATCAAATGGATGGGAAAGTTCCAGAATAATTTCTGGTTAAGGGTTAAATTAATAGAAATTACAATTAGGAATTAGAACGCCATAATAAATTTCTATTAATTTAACCCTTAACCAGAAATTATTCTGGAACTTTCCCATCCATTTGATATAAATACACGAATGTACAGCCTAGATGATGACTTCGTCGAAAAGAAAATTTTCTTCGCTGCAACTGTCTCTTTATTTCCTTTAATTCTTAGAGGGACATAGGGCTTCAGTCACAAGTCTCCATTGCGTTCAGTTTTCTGCTAGAGTTTTCACCTGACTCCAAGTCTGCCCACACACTTTCATATCCTCTTCACATGACCTCCTCCAAGTCACCCCACCATTGCACTGACGACCAACTCGCCACTTCCCTTCCGGGTTCCATTCGAGCAATGGCTTGTCTAGTGATGTCACTTGATGGTTTCCTCAGAGTATGGCCACCCAATCCATCTCCATTTCTTCCTGCTTATTTGTTTCCTGGTTGGTTTGCTCCCAGAGATCTCTGTCGCTGATCTTTTCTGGCCAGCCATCTGATATTGAGTATTGAGCGAAGACAACTTTTGATGAAGGTCTGTAGTTTGTTTGATGACGCGCTGGCCAAGTCTCCGATCCGTATAGCAGCAGTGACTCATTACTCGATATGAAACATAAATGTAAAGTAGGTTCTTGTGTTAGATACTTGAATTTTTGCAGTTGTGTAACGACAGAAGGCAAGGGCCAGGCAACAGATTATTTATTAAGGAAAACAATGCATATTTATATATGTTTTCATGTACATTACTATGGATATGTAAACAAACAAACACAGTCTTCCGATTGGTTGTTTCTCACGACAAATCTTGGGAACGTAAATATTGACGTAAATTACTGTCTACCAATTTGGCTAATAGACAGCTCTCAACACAGTTGGAATTCTTTCTGGACTATATCCTATACTCCCCATCCAGCCATTAATGAAACAAAACACGTAGATCAGCGAAGAGTCTCTTTTCGGTAGCGAATTCATTTTCTTAGCTGTACAATCGCAAATATGCACGTGTTATTTTGTATGTATGTGTACAATAAGTTTATTAAACAAAAATACAATTGGTTATAGTTATTTTAACGAGACAGGTGAAGATTGATAATTGGAGTTACGTAATACAAAATCAGTCAAGAAAATTAGGTGTTAGTGAAATTAGGGTAGTCACAAAGGTGATGAGTTGTCACAAACAGTTGTTAAAAGAAGTTATGTAATAATATGAATAGTTTGATGAGTGAGTTTTACTCAGGATGCACATAGGAACAAAGTAGATAATACAAAATTACGTAAGAGGTCTAAATGAATACAAGAATTATAGGCAATTAAAGAACAGGCAAAGAAACAAAATTAAGTCATCAAAATCATCTTTTTTGATTTGATTTTTTTTTATTTGTTCCTATGTGCATCCTGAGTAAAACTCACGCATCAAACTATTCATATTATTACATAACTTCTTTCAACAACTGATTGTGACAACTCATCACCTTTATTACTACTATAATTTCACTAACACCTAATTTTCTTGATTGATTTTGTATTACGTAACTCCACTTATCAATCTTCACCTGTTTAGTTTAAATTATTGTTATTATTGTTCCGTTGGGTTCCTAGTGGAACATAGGGCTTCAACTGCACGCCTCCACTTGCTTCTGTCTTCTGCTGTACTTTTCACTTGCATCCATGATATTCCATACTGTTTCAACTCCTCTTCACACGATCTCCTCCATGTCACCCTTGCACGTCCCACTCGCCGCTTCCCTTTCGGGTTCCAATCCAGCACTGGCCTGACGCGCAATGTCACCCAGCGGCCTCCTCAGCGAGTGTCCAATCCATCTCCACTTTCTCCTGCATATTTATTGAGCGATTGGTTCCTATTTTGTTTGTTCCCATAGTCTCTTGTTGGCGATTCTTTCCGGCCATCTGATCTTCAGTACAGAGCGAAGACAGCTGTTGTTGATAAAGGTGTGCAACAGGCTGTTGGAAATATTCTTTGTGACACACTGGCCAAGTTTCTGATCCATCCGTATAGAAGAATTGACTGACTCGACGTTTGTATTGTAAATCCGAATTTTGTTGTTGATACAGGCTGAGTGAGGAAGATTTCCAGATTGGTTTCAGGTTGATGAATGTGTTTCTTGCCTTCCTGATTCTTGATTTGACATCGTCGTCCGTTCCTCCTGTAGTTGAGACAATGCTCCCTAGATAAGTGAGTGAAGTAACCTCTTTCAAATCCCTCCCGTTGATGGTGATTGGCGCTGGATGTTGCTGCTGTTGTTGTTGTTGGTTGGTTATTTTCATAACATCCGTCTTGTCTATGTTCACCTGGAGTCCTGTCTTCTCTGGCTGCTTCTTCGACCAGTTTGTCGGTTTTCGCTTGTAAGTCTTCGATCATGTGTGACATCAAACATAAATCATCCGCGGGCGAAATCCAGGTCTTCTAGGTTCTTCACGTCGGTCCAGGATATCCCTGTCTTCTCGTTTATTATAATTATTTTACATTATATACATGTTATTATACATCACTTTTATTATTTTTGTTTTCTTTAGGCTTCTGGTGAAGAATCTCATGCAGTTACCACTTCACCAACTACTATTTCTTCATTGCCTACAATCGACAAATCAATAAATAATAATTTAAATCCAATGACTCTACCGTATAATTTAAATCTTAACTGGGTTTCACCAATTATCACAGCTTTATCCTTATCGGCTAGTTCTTCAATATTAAACTTACAGAATACAGAATTAGCCACAACCACGACATCACCATCATCAGCATTATCATCATCATCAACATTATTATCGTGTATTCCACAGATAGCCACCAAATTGAGAGCTTCATCGTGTTTCTCCCTTGGCAGATCAAGTAATTCATCATTCGCGACGTCATTTCATCATCCTCCTCCTGAGTTGAAGTTAAATACAAGTGTGAATGTTGACAGTACAACTGCTACTTCTAGCACTACTAATAACAACAATAGTGAGAATGATGATGAAAAGCCATTAGATTTATCAGTAAAGTCCTTGTTAACCAACCAACCAGCCAGGGAAATGAACCTGACAGCTGAAAATCTTAAAACCTCTTCTAGACGTAAATTAAGCAAGCCACGATCACAAGCCACGATTAAACCATCCATGATGACAAGCACAATGACAGCAACACCACCACCAACAACAACAACAATAAACACACCAGGAATATCATATTCACCAGAACAGGATGTCAACAACATCAAAGCGTTTAAAGAACCTCAGCCAGAAAGTATCCCCCCGATGAATACAGACAAAAATGGTATAGAATTAAGTCAACAATGGAAATTAGACATTCAAAAATTAGTCCACTTAACTGAATCCAGCCAAAAACGTCAAAAGTCAACAACTAACCGTAGACCATTTAAAGCTTTTGGTAATAGAATTCCATCAATTTCTAAAGAGATTTTATTAAAATCCACTGAACTTGTTGATCCTTTACTCTTAGCCAGTAGCATAGAAGAAAATACATCAGAAGCTGTTGAAAATACTGAACAAAAACGTGTTACACTCACTCCGCCAACATCTTCTTCTATAACTACTAATGATATTGATAATACTGTCAGTATGACAAATACAACTTCTATTACAGGTAAAGATCATTCCAGGCGAAAATCATCTTCCAAGGGTAAATCTCGTCGATCACAAAGTACATCAGCTATTCTCCCATTAGGTGTTGTCAATGATACTGACTCAAAAGCATTTCCTACTCTATCAACAACGAAATCATTAGAATCATTAATAAATAATAAAACAGATCAGCTAAAAGAGATCATTATAACAACACCGTCAATTGCATCAATATCATCTACACCCAGCTGTTATTCATCAAGTTATCCTCCTGAATTAATTGATATTGAAAAAAATTCATCATCATCGCCAACAGTTGAATGTAATCCACGTATGCGACGTTTCCCTGAAATGACACCGAAAGAAATCAAAGATAAAGCTTATTGGGAAAAACGTGTCAAGAATAATGAAGCTGCTAGACGTTCACGTAGAGCAAGAAAAACTAAAGAATTAAGTTTGAAAAAGTATGCTGATAATCTGGAAAAAGTTAATATGAAATTGATTGAAGAAATTGAACTGTTGAAAGCAGAGATAATACAATTGAAGGCTGAAAAAGAAGCGCACAATTCAAGTTGAATGAATACAAATTATTATTATTATTATAGAAAAAATGTCCCTTCTCCTCTATGCAACAACGCCGTCAAATGATCTGTTTATTACCTTATTTATTTTGTAAATAATAATATCTTTATTTTAAATAGTTGTGAATTTTTTTTATGCTATTGAATTGAGTTGAAAAAATCATGTGCTCATTCATTGACACATTGAAACATTCACTCATGCATACTCAAATCGTTCATAATCTTTTTTTAATTTCTAAATATACTGTGAGAAAGATTGTGAATAGTTGTCGTTCTTGACTAGTGACATAAGGGAAAAACAACAACACTGGATAGTTGTCCGATTGAAGAGTCATGTGGAAGGATGTGTGATCTACTTTACTATCTTAAGAAGACCTTTACAAAATAAAAAATGAAAGAATGGTGGTTTGAAACGGTTTCATGTTGAAATTTAAATTTGAAATTTGCAGCGCAGTGCAGTGCAGTGCAGCATAATGGATTATTTATTCAGTTTAAAGAATATGTGTGGGTGTCTGTGTGTGTGTGCTCCAGTGGTTCAGCGGTAGGACACTTGCCTACCATGTCTGACGTGACCCAGAGTTCGATCCCGGACCAGTGAACTCCTAAACCTCGTTACGCAGCCCCAGTAGTAAGGCTAATGAAGAGGGAAGGTGTTGGGCATGAGACTAGCCACCTCACCTAGTAGAAATAAAACTACTACTACTACTGTAACAACAGAAGACAAGGGACAGGCAACAGAACGTTTATTACGGAAAATCAACACATATTTATAGATTTTGATGTACATTATTGTAGGTTAATGTTAGTAGAAAATACAGTCTGTTGATTGGTTGTTTCTCACACAAAGTAAACCTTGCATCTCTTTGTGGCTGTGTCAGATCATCCATATGCTAACTGTATCCGCCCGCCTACACAAAGCCTTTGTTCTCATCATTTTCTCACCACCAATATTGGGGACATAAAGATTGACGTCAATTACTGTCTACCAACTTTGGCTAGCAGCCAGCTGTCACCACACCACTACTACTACTGTAACAGTAGAAGGCAAGACACGGAAGCTAAGGTACATTTTTTATTAATCATACCGCTGCTTATATGTATCTACAGTTTATATCCGTTAACCAATCATTGAGCGTGCGATTTTGGTTTACATTAAACTACATGAAGTAGAATGTTCAAATAGATATATCGAATTCTGTTGCTAATGTCGTATTAAACTGTGGGAATATGCGAGAATCATATTCCGTTGGTATACACTGTTTGCATCACACCACCATACTACCACTACTACTACTAGTAGTAGTACTACTACTACTACTAAAACTTCCAAGCTCTAGCCCAAAGCCGTATGTTGTTCTATTCGGAATGTAAAGGAATAATATCAGAGAAAAAGGATACGTTTGGATTCTATCAATGGTGACTGCAGGAAATTTAATACTCAGTGTTTAAGTACTTTGAAAATTTACAAAACAATGTATACTAAACAAAGATTACTCTTTTCGATAACCTGCTCTTCATCATCAGGTCCTACAGTTGTATATACATTTTAATGAAAGAATGAATTGGTGTGATGAACAACATTATTATTTATTATTATTATTGTATCCTTTAATACCTACAGGAACATAGGGCTTCAGCCGTGCGTCTCAATTGCGTTCTGTTCTCTGCTAGAGTCTTCACCTGGCTCCAAGTCTGCCCACACGCTTTCATCTCCTCTTCACATCACCTCCTCCAGGTCACCATTGGATAACCATCTTGCCGCTATCCTTTCGGGTTCCACTCGAGCAATGGCTTGTCTAGTGATGTCACTTGATGGTTTCCTCAGAGTGTGGCAAATCCATCTCCATTTCTTCCTGCCCATTTGTTTCACAATCGGTTCCTGGTTGGTTCGCTCACTGACAGAGATCTCTGTTGCTGATATTTTCTGGCCGGCCATCTGATCCTGAGTATTGAGCGAAGACAACTGTTGATGAAGGTCTGTAGTTTGTTTGAGGTGCTCTTTATGACGCGCTGGCCAAGTCTCTGATCCGTATGTTAAGTAGCACTGACTGATTTCACATTGGAGTTGAAAATCCGGATCTTATTCTGATTTTGATGCTGAGTGCTGTTGACCTACACACAGACTTGAGAGTAGTGAAAGCTTGTCTTGCTTTTCCGATCCTTGCTTTGATATCCTCGTCAGTTCCGTCCGCCTGTAGTTGAGACGATGCTTCCCAGGTAGGTAGGTAGGTGAACGAGGTTGTTTCTTTCAGGTTCCTCCCATTTATGCTGATCGTTGTCTGTTGTTGTTGTTCTTGTCCAGGAATCTTCATCATCTCTGTTTTCTCTATGCTCACCTGAAGTCCCTCCTATCTTTGATGCTTCTTCTGCCAACTTGTTGCTTTTCACCTGCATATCTTCCAGTTTGTGTGAAATCAGACATATATCATCGGCGAAGTCCAGATCCTCAAAGTTTCTAGTGTGTGAGTCCATTTTATGCCTGTTTCCTCATTGCCCACTGTTTGTCGCATTATCCAATCCACCGCAATCAGGAAAATCATTGGCGATAGTAGGCAGCCTTGTCTTACTCCTGTCTTCACTTCGAAGGGTTCCGTAAGTTTCCCATTGTGGATTACTTTAATGTTGTTTAAATAACATCAAATCAATAATATCAAAGTTGCAAATGGATTACAGTTCAGTAGCATCAACATAAAAATAAACTGAATGTCAGAAAAATTAGGAGAGATAATATTACAAATTCATGAATTTATAGTCTCTACTGAAGGCCAGCCAGAACAGTAGCAGTGGTTGGTTGAACCTGCTTCTTCTGCACACAAAGCACTGGTTGTTTCATGCGAATCGCAATAGCTTCTACTGTTTGGAGCATGCGGTACCTCGATGTTTTTGGCAATTTATTTAGCACCCAGTAGGTGATAGAGAAGGATTCATCAATGCTGGCTGGCTTTGTGGTCGGTTTGCACCAGATGGTCCAATATCGAACTGTTGATTGTTTTCACTACACCTTTACTTAGTCATACTGGGAGATGTTCTCCAGTGAGCACGAAAAATCAATTTCCTATATCAACACCCAATATAACTCGCTCCACTACAAGTTCAGTTGAATAGGTAGGCAAAATTAGAAGTGGCTAGTCTAGGTACTTCATCTTCCAATTGAGGCATCACCATTGGTCGGGGAGAAAACATGACTTGTAGTTCGCCAGCATTAAAAGTTCTTTGAACTGATTTTCTTAATTTCTTCGTAATTATTTCACTTGGTATATCGCCCTTGAATTGCAGTCGTATATATAAAGGCTTCTTGTATACGGATAGTGAGTAGTCCTTTTCCACTTTCTTTGTCATGTGTTTCTTGATAAATTTGTCGGGATAGCTATTTTGGATCAAAGTACCATATAGAATGCTTATATTATCTTCAATTACTTCTTCTGAGCATATAGCTCTAACTCTGTGGCTGAGGGTCTTTACTAAATTTCTTTTGTAGTGGAGAGGAACGAAGTTATGAAAATGTGTCTATTGTCCTGTCCAAGTACTTTTTCTATGCAAATTTCTCTTTATGCTGCCATCTGGTTTTCTTGTAAGGAGGACACCTAGGAAGGCAATTCTGTCTTGGGATTTCTCTTCGCATGTGAATTTCATAGCCGAATGTACTTCATTTAATTCAGTAATTATTGTACTCCTATCCGAATCATTATCATAAGGAATGAAGGTGCAATCCACTTACCGGCAATGAAATGAGAAATTTTTGATAAGGTTGCTCAAAAGTCCATTTTCTAGTTTACTTAGAAAGAAATCAGCCAAAATGGGACCCAATGGGGAGCTCATCGCCACCCCGTCCACTTGTCTGTAAAGTGTGCCGTCAAATTTGAAATTTACATTCATGGTACACCTTAATAACAATTCTTTTAGGATTTCAGTAGGGATGCCAATGTTTATCGACTGGTTATCCACTTGTTCACATATGTAGTTAACTGTTTCTACTGGAGGTACATTTGTGAATAAAGATGTTATGTCCTTGATATTAATATCTTTGATTTTGTCTACGAATTCAAATACATCTTTGACGTTATATTTCACTATCTTCTCATGCAAAGGTTTGAGAATATTTACTAACCATCTAGCTAGAGCATGGTAGGGCGAATTTTGCATATCAAGCATTGGTTTGAACAGTAACTCCGGTTTTTGGACTTCACGTAGGCCATACAATCTTGGCGTATACATGCCCGTTGGTTTGATTTCTTCATATAAACTTTCAGGAAATATCTGTTCCTCCTTTGGTTTCTCCAAACGTCTCAAATCTTTCTTCTCCTCAAGTTTTTGAAACTTCTGTGTCCTTCAGTGTATCATTCATCTGTTTAATATAGTCAGTTCTATCAAGGAGGACTACTCCTGATCCTTTATTAAGCTTTGTGAGTATCAGTCTCTCATCATTTATAAGTTTTTCAGTTCTTCTCTGTGCTCCTTCGTCAAGAAACGTTTACTGTCGCATTTTAGGCTTTTGTACGGAGAACAACTATGCACTAGACTGGATTTGAAGCGTTCTAGTTCCAAACTGACTATAGGATAGCTTGATTCCACACGGTATTTTCCGTACAAATATGGAATTTTCCGCATGTAATATCGGTAACCCAAATTTTACAGGTCAACCATTGATATCAGTTATGCGTTGGTAGGGGATCGAACCCCCGAGCATGTGCATGGTCGGCGAGCATCCTAACCGCTGTGCCACCGATGCAGGACTCACTAATCGTCACAGACATACTGTTTGGATTGACAGAAGACAAAGGCCATGTATATATGCATATGAAACAGCATTTCATGAGTAACAGCTTCAATTAATTTCAGTTGAAAGCACTTCATTCTAAGCTTGTAGCAGTTATAAAATGAATTCGAAATCACACAACAAAATAGACAATGAGAATAAAATGAGTTCCTGTTGGCATCTGATATGACTGTGAATGGATTAATCGTAGGGGTTTAATGATACCGAATCGAATAAAACTGTTCTCCCTCAATACCTTCTAACACACTGAACTACAAAAGTAAAGTCTGGTTGTCAATATAAGGAAGACTTTATTTAACAAAAATCGACTACATACGTACATTTCTAATACAATTTTAGCCTAAAT